AAAAAAGGAAGAAGGATAAGGAAGGAAAGGAGAGGTAGGAAGAGAGACCTGAGCTAGCAGACTCAGCCTCCTCACTATGTGATGCCCTGTGCTGCCTCCAGACTCTAGAGAGTCTCCACCAACAAGAAGGCCCTCACCAGATGCACCCCCTTAACCTTGGACTTCTCAGCCTCCAGAATTGTAAGAAGTCAAATCATTTCTTATTAATTACCCACTTTCGGGTATTCTGTTTTAAACAACAGATGATGAATTCCTCTTTGCAATCAGTCAAAAATTTCATTATTTTGAGGTTTATTAAATGCAAGCAAGTTACATATTTCTAGTGAATTAAAACTTTTATCAGAACCTTTTTGTCCTCTGTCTACTAATAACTTGCTTTAAAGCCTATATTTTCTGATATCAACACAACTACACCAGCTTTTAGTTAGTACACCAGTTCTTTGTATTTCTAGCAAACACCGATTTTTATCCTTTAATTTTTAAATTATATGCTTTATTAAAGTTGATTTAGGAATCTTATTTCAATCTCAAAGTTCCAAATTACAGATTTTTTTTTTTTTTAGATGGAATCTTGCTCTTGTTGCCCAGGCTGGAGTGCAGAGGCACCATCTCAGCTCACTGCAACCTCTGCCCTCCTGGGTTCAAGCGATTCTCCTTGCCTGAGACCTCACCGAAGTATGCGGATTACAGGTGTGCACATCATGCCTGGCTAATTTTGCATTTTTAGTAGAGATAGGATTTCTCCATGTTGGTCAGGCTGGTCTCAAACTCCCGACCTCAGGTGATCTGCCTGCCTCGGCCTCCCAAAGTGCTGGGACTACAAGCGTAAGCCACAGTGCCCAGCAATTTCAGATATTATTAAAGATGTTTGGTAAGTTTTTTGGCACACAGAAAGTACCGGAAAATCTAGTATAGTCCAATAACTACCCACCTACCATGTACCCACTGCTGCAATTAAAAACTTATTACTTTGCCACATTTGCTTTATCTGCATTTTTTTTTAAATTAGGGCATGTGTTTGCATAAGCCTAATGCCATTATCACACTTAATAAAGTAAATAATTCTTAATATTCTTTAATATCCAGTCTCTATTTAAAAATTTCCAATTATCCCAGATAGCTCTTATAGTTTTCACATTTACTTGTTTTGCATGTAACATTTCTATCTAGGGCAGCTTTCACGTACCCCAGATTTTTCTCCTGGATAACTCTTTAACACATCAGACCAGTTGTCACGCAAAATGTCTATCATTTCCATTTCAGTCTTTGTGTGTGTGTGTGTGTGTGTGTGTGTGTGTGTGTGTACATATATGTATATATATATTTTAGGCAGTCTCGCTATGTTGCACAAGCTGTTCTCTAACTCCTAGACTCAAGGGATCTTCCTGCCTCAGCCTCCCAACTAGCTGGGATTACAGGCAGACACCACCGTACTGATTTTATTTATATTTTATCTGTGTTTTTATATTTTGAATGTATCAGCTGTAAATTGTATTCCCTAGATTTGTTTTTAATCCAGTGTAATGTTTGCCTTTTACTTTGCAAATTTAGTCCACTTAGGATTACCTATATATTTGGAATTAGTTCCTCATTCTATTTTTTTATTTCTATACATGTCATCTGTTTTATGTAATTTTTTTCTCGTTTATTGTGTGGTTTGGTTTTGGGTTTTTTGGTTTGGTTTGGTTTGGTTTGGTTTGGTTTTGGGTTTTTTGGTTTGGTTTGGTTTTGGGTTTTTTGGTTTGGTTTGGTTTGGTTTGGTTTGGTTTTGGGTTTTTTGGTTTGGTTTGGTTTGGTTTGGTTGTTGTTTTTAATTGAACCAGGTGTTTTTGTTTCGCCTTTTTGTGTTTGTTTTTCTCATTCCTTTTTCCCCCATACTTAATTTGGAGGTTTACATTCTATGTGTCCTCCTCACCTTATACCCTGTGAGACAGGGAGCTTCCAAAGACCTACTGCTTATTGACCTGTGTCCCTTAAGTTTGGGGAGCCTGAGAACTGGCATTAAGTACTACATCTAAAGAGCTGGGAGAAAAAAAAAAAAAGGAGACTGTACTGAAAGAAAATGATTCTTCTACCAACACTAGGACATAAATGGGCAGGTGTTTACCCTACACCAGATGTGGAAGGAGCTGGCATGGAGCCCTTTGTAAATCCTGCCCAGGCCTCCAACAGACAGAACTGTCCCCAGACAACCTGGAGATGAAGGAAACATTCACAAGCAAGTAGGGAAATATCACCCTGTGGAAGGACGGACCGTCGGCCCCAGGGGAGTACGTCTGAGGAATACTCGAAAAAAAGCACTTCAGAAAAATGGTCACTTTGAACACCTGCCAAGCCCAGCGAGCAACAGCTGCAAGACCTCAAATGACCATCCACACAACATAGCACCCTCTCCCAGCCTGACCCGTAAGGGCTCAGTAGCAGGGATGTCAGCCATGAGCCCAGCCAAATCCCTAACCCACTAAGCTGTCAAGCAACATTTGCACCATGTGACCCACCATCAGGCATAGGTGATACGTCTAGTGGAGATCACCTGACCCAAAGGTAGCCAATGGGAAAGTTGAGTTAGCTGGCGAACTGAGCCTATCAGATTATCTCCTGGGGGTGGCGCTGGGAGCGTGGACCCGCAGACAGACCGCAGGGAAAGAATCTGAGCAGATGTGGGAGGAGAAGAGCAGGCAGGAATGTGGGTCAGAGACTTGGGGATCATGGCAAGCAGACGCGGTGAGGAAGCAGGAGTGCCAAGGAGATGGAAGCAACAAGGCGGAGGGAAGACGTGTAGAGCAGAGGAAAATAATGGAAATTTTAGTAAGATTGGCAAGCACCTATACTAAATTTCCTGATAGCCAAGGACTTTTTTTTTTTCAACTCGGCTGAGCATCTACAGACTCCAGCTGCTGATTCTCAGAGGCCATCCCAGATCTAGTTCCAGGCCAAGAGTCCCAGCTGTCTGCTGGTTTCTATTCTTGTGTATTACGTCTGTCTGTCTCCCTTCCGCCTCACATGTATTCTGACGACCAGAAACGCCCTCTAGTTGAGATAACTGGAGCTGGACCCTGCTTGCTGCAATGCAAAGAACACAAAAAGAAAGTGAAAGAAAACCCTGACCAGGAAGAGAGCCCGGTTGTTCCCTGAACAGAATTCACACCAGGCAGTTCTTGCTGCATTTCCCCCAATAAAATCCTCCCTCGTTGTACTTTATTTTATTCTGTGAAAATAAGCCTTATTATAAATCACAATGAAATCCACAAACCAAACCCCAAACTCTAGCAAAACAAGATCCCCTTGATGTATAAAGTCATCGCTGACAGGACAGTCTTTTTCAGTTATTGCTTTTGTCGCTTGTTTCTTGAGAACATGACTCCAATAAGGCCCATGGCTGCCAAGCCCATTCCTGCAACGCTTGCAGCGATGACGACATCTCTGACCTGCAACAAAGAGGAGGGTGGGTCAGACTCTGCGTCAGGATTCAGAGTACAGGCTGCATATTCAGCAGGAACATTCAGCTCGGGGTACCTCACATGCCCCTTGGCCTCCCTGGCCAAACTAAGGAGTCAACAAACATTGGTAGGGAAGAGGGGAGGAGAGAGCTGGATGGGGAAAGAATTCCTGACTAGAGCCAGCTGGCCTGAAATTTACATGGAACCAAAGATGGAAAACTGGATTCACCATGTGGGTATTTAAAGCATATAAATCCTCAGAGCGTGGCTGTGGAAAGGACAGGGAGCTGATGCAAGGATGGTCAAGATCTTGGCTGGCCAATGGGGAGCTCTAGAAGCAAAGGTGGAGTCAAGGAGGAATTGTTATTGAGTAGTCAGTAGCCTATGACCTCCATAAGAGCAAGGAACTCGGCTGTCTTGTTCATCGCTGTATCCCCAGTGCTTGGTCCTGCCAGGCATGGAGGATGGAGGTACTCTTCACATGTTCTTAAATAAATGACTCAACTATACATAGTAGTAATGTTATACTTAGAATTATTAGGATATCTGACTTGTTTGTAGGAGGAAAAAAAGGGTTTCAAAAGTAGAATTAAATTCCCGGGTAAAAATTGAATATATGTCCAATTTTACTGCCTCCTGAAACTCAACTAAAAGTAAACTAAGGCATTTGTTTAAGGCATAATTCCACAAGAATTCAGAAAACACTAAATCCTAAGGCAGCAGTGGAAAAAACTGAGGATAAACCCTAATTATACAAAAGAATACTCCAAAAGGATCACATATTAAACCCAGGTGCCTCTGGAAGTGGGAAAGAATGAAAGAGAGCTTTAGCTGGTCCCTGAACCTCCTCCCTGACCCCCAACAGAAGTCTGAAAGTTTATTCTCTGCAGAGGGTACAACAGAAGGCTTCGGGGCCTAGAAACCTAGAAGCACATGTGAGAATGTGGGTATCATACCACAAACAAGAGATTGAGACTGTAAAGATGCTAAATGTGAGACTCCCAGACCTCCTACCCCTCTCTGTTCCCAGAACTTTACCCTCCACACAAGAGTCCAGAAGACTTTTCTGGGGAATCTGGCCCAAATGCAAATAACTGGGAATTCCCAAACAGCCCACCCAGATCATCCTGCAGTGAAACTCAAAGTCAGCAAGCCACTGCCCCATGCCCACCTCCACTCACTCAGAGCTCCATCCAGTAGCAAACCCCCACTTTTTTTTTTTTTCTGACAAACTGAAAACTGTTCAGCAAACAGTATGAAAGAGGTGAGATGCTCAGCTGGGTACAGTGGCTCACGCCTGTAATCCCAGCACTTTGGGAGGCTGAGACAGGTGGATCACTTGAGGCCAGGAGTTCCAGACAAACCCAGCCAACGTGGTAAAACCCTGTCTCTACAAAAAATACAAAAATTAGCCAGGCCTGGTGGGCATGTGCCTATAGTCCCAGGTTCTCAGGAGGCTGAGGCAGGAAAATCACTTGAACCCGGGAAGTGGAATTTGCAGTGAGCGAAGATCGCACCATTGGACTCTATCCTGGGCAACACAGCAAGAAAGAGGTGAGATACTCTGTTTATATAAATCATAATGAAGTTATCTCAACAACATAATGATTTTACAGTATACATTAGAGGCCAGTATATATAGAGGGTAAGAGAATAATAACAAAGAAAACATAAGGAGAAAGAATTAGCATCTCTTTCTAATCTATGAAGTTGAATAATAAATCTTGGTCAAAATAATTTTCTGATAGTAAGACAGTGAGTATTATTGTGTATAAAACTGAAAAACCAAAACTATAAATATAAGAAAGGTGGCTTTACACAAGTACCATTTGACAGAAATGTTATTTGTAATTTCTCTTGGAAAAAAAGAACTGTTTAAGATGCTTTAAGGATTCTAAAATAAAAAGAACCAATACATATTTAGCTTAACAAATTTAAGAGGAGAAATTGTATTTAGATGTTGTAATTTTAAAACCTAGGGCACACAACATTTAACCAACAGACCTTGTTTTTAGGATATAATTTGTTAATCAATTTAGTTAACAACTAAGCTAATATAATGGTTCTTTGAAATTCAAGCGAAAAACATGATGGTGTAAGCTGCACTTTTTTTTCTTTTTTGCAGACTGAAGTTTTGCTCTTGTTCCCCAGGCCTGCGAGTGCAGGCACAATCTCGCGGCTCACAAGCAATCTCCACCTTCCAGCTTCCAGCGATTCTCCGTGCCTCGCCTCCCAAGTAGCTGGAATACAGGTCCCGCCCACCACACCGGCTAATTTTTTGCTATTTTTAGTAACAGACGCGCGCGCGTTTTTACCAATGTTGGCCAAAAACAGCGCTCTCAACTCCTGACCTGATTCAACCCGCCTCGCCTCCCAAATGCTGGATTTTACAGCGTGAGCCACCGCGCCCGTCTTGCCCGCGCAAGCGCTTCTCTTAATCATGAGCATACAAACCACATACCAAAACATCTGAAAGAAGGCCTCGTAAAAATTGAAGACAAAAGAACAAATAAGGCCAATCTGGAGAAAACGAAAAATTCATACCTAGAAAAGGAAACCGAAACCTTTTAAAAAAAAATATCATTTAGAATCGCTTCTCGGCCTTTTGGCGTAAGCATCGAGTGTAAAACTTATTTCCAATTGGAGATAAAAGAAAACAAAGCATATTTGCAATTCAATATAAATAAGAACATAGTACTGTAAAAAAATAAATGGAAGTATTGAGAGAATAAAAAATGGTTTTCATAGGCGGAAAATAAAAAAAAAAAAATATGACAAAATAACAAAACTCAATAAGAAAAGGTTGAAGTAAAGGAAATCTCCATGAAAAAGGAATAGCAAAAAAAATAAAGAAATAGCAAAACCAAGCTAAAAAACAACAAACAAACAAAAAAACAATCTGGCTTGCGGTGCAAAGTGCGCTCAAACGGCCTGTAAATTCCCAGTCACTGGTTGGGAGGCCAAAGGCAGGCCGTGATAGCTGAGCTCAGGATTCGAGAACCAGCCTGTCAAAACATGTGAAAACCCCATCTCTACAAAAAAAAATAAAAAGAAATTAGCCCAGCAGGGTGCGGCAACCTGCTGTTGAAATCCCAGGTACTCCGGGAGACTGGAGGCAGGAAGAATCACTTGAAACCCCAGATGCGCAGAAGGTTGCAGTGGTTTGAGGATGTGCCTGCTGCCACTCCCAGCCCAGGAAAAAACAGCAAGCAAGACTTCAGTCTCAAAAAAGAAAGGAAAAAAAAAAAAAGAAAAAAAAAACGAAAAAAGAAAAAAAAAAAGAAAAGAGAAATAGTGCTCTGAGTCCCAATTCTTGAATGCCGATAAAAGTAGCACCTAACACAAAGCATATTACTATGAAATTTTAGAAAGATTGTGTAAAGATGATTACAGCATGCAGAAGGAGCAAAAAACAGGAAATGGAGAAAAAGCGTCGGAAATTCAGGATGCGCCTTTTCAAGCTTCTCAACAAGAGCCCGAATTCTGGGCCGCGCGCGGTGCTCAAGCCTTTTATCCTCTTAGTCTACTTGTAGTTGCTGAGTCTTGTCTGATGTGTCCTGGAAGCCATGGAGTGAGGATCTCAACTGCGGGAGATCACTCTGCATCTGGAGGTTGCTACAGTGGATTCTGTCGATGAACCATCACGTCGTGCGCGTTCAATCGCGCGCGATTGGTGAGAAGTCGCCCCCCTCTCTAACTAAAATAACAATGATGGATACTTATGTGTATTTTTGTAAGAGATGCGTTGTCGATGTTGAGTGGTCTGATTGGTTGGCGTGTGCCGTGCCTGTTAACTCCCAGCCGGACAACTGATAACGGGGTGAGACTGGGCTCGGAGAGAATTGTTGTTGTGTATGCTTCTTTATTGGTATTTACTCCAGTTTTTTGTCTGTATTAAGTCTTGTGTGAAGTTTCCTGTAATAAATACCGGTCCCCACGGCTCATACTCCTTGCTGAGTTTCGTTTTGCTGTCGGTCATTTTTTGCTCAGGTACTTGCGAAGCACTATCTCTTTATTTTCTCAATATAATATAAAAACTAGTAATATTTAAAATATAAAAAAGAATGCAATGTCTCGATAATTGCTAAGTAGATATATGTGGAGCCAATGTTGTGCTCGCCTCTCGATATAAATCTCTGATGAGATAGATTTCTATCTGCAACTCTGTAGGTATACGGTGTCGAGAGGAATACCCAGTGTACAAAATAGATTTCTCAAAAAATGAGTGGTGTGATTTTTAGGGTGTGAAATTTGTTTTGTTGTTTTGTTTTTGGTCCTTCCATTTTGAGGTTCTTCAGAATGTTGGTTGTTGGTTGTATGCTCTGAATTGGTGGTTGCCGGGGCGGGTGTCACGTGTAATGGTTGGGGAGGGTCGTGATAGGTGGAGTTCGGAGTGTTTTGGGTGGTTAGTCTGTTAATTAATTGGGTGTGGTGGGTGTATCGTACCTTGGGAGGAGGGAGGTGTGGCTGGAGGTGGCGGATTGTGTGGGAGTTGTGTGTCAGCTGGACGGAGTGGGTTCGAAGTGATTTTGTTCAGTTGATTTCGTTATCTGTACTGTAGGTGTGGTTATTGATACTTATTATTACGATTATGTGGTTGTTGTTGAGAATGTGTGTGTGGAGTGGGGTTAATAATGAAACATTTAACATTCAGCACTCCTTATTTACCTCTCTCATT